ATGCATTGCAGCGGAGCAGGAACATTGATATACGTGAATTAGGAAGACTTTTTAAAGTAAATGTAGCTTAGCTTCCCATTCACAGGAACTGAACTTTGTATTTGCTTTTTTTTTTTTTTATATATATATCTATATATGTTCCATTAGTTTATTGATTGTTATGAGCATTTGGGCACACCCTTATTTGATCATTAAAGTTTGATCCTTTGCCATTTTCTTATGACTTCTTGGAACACACTTTCAGTTCCTCTTTCTTTACATATGTACATGAGTGTATGGGTATCAGGATTTAAAATGGATATATTTCTCATTCTGTGAGTTTTTAAGCTGCTATAACTTACTGTTATACATGTGTAGCTTTTCTGATGATTGACAAATGCGTAGCTGTCCATAATGCCGATCACCACTCTCTGTCATGTCTACTTTTTTTTTCATTCTTTTGTAGTGTTGCGGATCCTGGAGCAGTGAAAACCAACATCATGCGGGAAATACCACAATGTCTTTCTCAATTAGCATTTGCAGTCCTGAGACTTCTGGGAATATTGCACTTTCCAGAGAAAGGGATCAGCTCAATTCTTGATGCAGCCCTTGCTCCACCTGTAAGGTTATTAAACTTTGTACCACATCCTTGTGGAACTTAGTCTTTCTATTGGTATAAATATATCATTGATAAAGGAGAAATATGTCTGAGGACCCAGGGGCCTGTGAAAAGGTGTTTTTTAGGCACAATTGACCGGGTATCCTCGTCAACTATCCATTAGGGTATGCCAATCAAACCTTGACATATGGTTGAAGAGAAACCCCTGAAAGTTCCCATAAATAATTGAGAAACCCCTGATAGTTCCAATGAAGTAAGTGACTGAAGAAACACTTATAGTTTGATCCCACATAAACATAGTTTTGTCGCCCTGTTCTCTTTTCTACCGCTTGTTTCAAGCAATGATACCCACCAAAATGTCAAAGCGCATTTCTGTAAGAACCTTGGGATCCTTTACCATTACATACCAACATTTTGCAGCAATGCTTCAATATGGTATCTAGACAAGTTCAACTTCTTGACTCACCTCAAAAGTCTGTGCCATGTAAAATATGCTACTTCACAACACAAACAAATATGAGTATATCCTTAACCCATTCACTCTCCTAACACAGTATATGCATAAGACAGTGTGCCCCGTTGGTCTATTGAAAAAATTGAGGATACGATTTGGAACCTTTTTTTTTTTTTTGGGTTTAGTTGGAAAAAAGTGAGGTCAAAGTACAAAATTTTTCTCTGTTTGCAATTTATCATCAAGGTTTCATTATCTTTGGAGAGTGGAACATAGTCTTTTGTCTAAAAATTGGGATTATGTATCAGATATTAGGTCTTTCCAAGTATTTTGTTGAAAGAATTACACAGGGTCATCAACACAAAGATCCCTGCTCCATTTATAGTGTTATTTAATGATAATTAAAGCGTTTCTGGTGAATTTTCGGGCAAAGACTGAGAGCCATAAATATTTGCAGCATGACTTTCATATTATGGCACAACCACCATTAATCCTGAGTTATATCTTGATCAGATCTCCATTCCTTTGTATAATATATCCCTAAATTATTTGGAGCACCCAATTATAGGTAGCTACCTTAGTCCCTCCTGTCTAATTTCACAGGACTGTAATCCTAAATCCTTGCCTTTGTTGATACCAAATCCACTCTCTAAATGCTCAATTTGACTTGCTACAACCTCGATTTTTTTTAACTCGTCTCTATGATTCCTACTTAGTATTAATTCCTGCTTCAGTGTCATTAATCCATCAGCTGTTGTAAGAATTGTTTGTACTGCTTTTATACAAGCTTCAGTTAAACACCAATGTTGCTAGTGATCTGCCTGCTTGAACGCCTTCATAAGGGGGGTCGGCTACATGAACCAACACGAGGACTTCCCAGGAGGTCACCCATCCTAGTACTACTCAATCATTGTGGCTCATGGCCTCATGTCGTGTGATGTGACAAAGTTTTACATTGGCTGTCACTGGCCTACCGTAACCCTCCTCCTTACTAGTGATCTAATTTCTGTTAATCTAATGCCGTGGTAATATTGTCACAGGAAACTTCTGGAATGTATTTCTTTGGTGGCAAAGGCAGGACAATCAATTCCTCCCCCTTGTCCTACAACAAAATGTTTGCAAAGAGATTATGGGGAACGTCATGTGATATTTTTCAAGAGCTGAAGCGTATTCATGAGAAATCCTCGATATCTGTTTGTGACTAGGTGATAATTTAAGACAAGATTTCCTTTGACTTGAAAATTTTCAGCAGAATTGAGTGAATGGACTTGTATAATCATAATCTGAGAAATCTACGTGTTTTATACGATGTATTTGAAGAACTCTTGGATTGAGAAGTTCTTACTCAACCACCACAACAGCCATAGGTTTGGACCAGAGCGCACTTTGTAACAAATTTGTTATAGTTGTCTTTATGTTTTGTGTGATAGGGTTGGCTTTTCCCTTGGTTCTCTCTTTGTAGTACGAATAATAGTTTTTAGCTTGTTGAGGACTAAATGATTAATCTGTTAATTTTATGAGATTTTTTTTTATCTTGTGGATTATATATTATAGTTCATACCTCGATCAATTTCTTCATCCTCTTAAATCCTTTCTTAGAAATTTTTAATCTTGATACATGGGATAGGCCAAAGTTCAAGTAATCTTCTATTCGGATAATTCTTCGTTTCAGAAATGGTTGTTAACAAATCCTAAATTGATGAAGGGTTAAAACTCCTTCAGCATGGAGAAAAATCTAGGCGTGCATTTTGTTGAAGTCGAACGCTATACTTCTGCGACTTCACAAAATCAAGGCGTGCATGGATGCTAAAAACTCTTGCCATGGAGATTTTACCTGAGACACCTTAGAACATTTTCTTTGAATTTGATTAATGCAAATTCACGCAGTACAATATCACCAAAATTTACACCTTTAATTTTGCTCAAGATACAAGGAACGAAGAATAAACATGACTATACAAGATACTAAACACTATTTATTACTTTGTATATCATTATAATAATATAATGTACAAAGTTAATAATGTCCACAGACGAGGTACTCGTAGTAATGAAGAAAATTAATGTTGCATGAATTATAATTATTGCTATTAGCATTCCTTTTAATTTATAACTTTGTAAACAAGCAATAAACATGCATCATAGTATATCTTTTCTTTTTATACACCTAAGTATTTTGTATTCTGGAAATTAATCTTGAAGACTTAAAAAAGAAAACACATAATAACATAATTATAGCAACTCATGAAGAAGAACAATCTGAAATGAGTACATATTTTCATACTTGTGTTGTAAGATTTAGGGAGATGAATAAAAATAATAAAATGGGACCGACCTTTGTTATTGATTGTTTGATGAAACCTACATACTTATACGCTGATTATTAATCGATTACTTTTAATTTTGTTTCACAAGCCAAGTCAAAATCATGGTGTTGACTAATTAATTTAGCTTTGGCGTTTTCCATTCAACCCTACCATCCACGTTACTAGACTCCATTCTTTTTGGCATCCAAGCTAACATGACAAACATTTCTGATAATTTTGCACATGGAAAATTATTTCTAAGGTTTATATTTTTTGGACCATAATTTTTGGGGCCAGAAGATGCTCGATTATATATTCAACACGAGGAAAACTAAAAACATTGTCATTGTGAGGATTTTTCGGCTTATAATGATAATCTTCGATTTATTTCAATTCCCGTCATACAACCTAAATGGGTGCAATTAGATAATCAAGTCATCAAATGTTACGGAGTATTATTGTATCTACAACCTAAATGGATTCAATTAGAAAATCAAGTTATTAAAAGTAACGGAGTATTATTATATATTATCATCCACAATGAGCCAATGCGATATGTTACTCTTTGTCTTTCCTCCTCCATAAATAAAAAATAAATATGAATTTAAAAAAAAAAAATAGTATATATAATCGTAGACATTTTGATAGCATGTTAAAAATTACTTGTCGGCAAAAGGAATTTTATAATTCGTAGTAAAAATATCTATTGAACCAAACCTTACAAGTAATTTGCTATTTACACCTCAATTCTTGAAAAAACTTAAATTAGTGAGGTGGTAAAGTATTAAACATTTAAACTCTTTACTTCTTTTGTCCCAAATTGAAGAGCATACAATTTTAAGCTCAACTAATACTCTCTCTAAAAAAAATTCTTATTTATAATTTTGCAACTCTTCAAAATTTGCTTAAATTATAAATTTATTATGAAAAAACAGGCATGTAAAGACTGTTCTAAGAATAAGAATACGTAATTAGAAAGATTAGTGGTCAAAGATGTACACAATCAAACAAGAAATACAGAAAGAACTTTTAGAGACGGAAAGAATATGTTATCAATGAACGTAGACAAACAACAAAATAAACAAAAGAGGTAGGTGGAGGGGGAAGGAGTGATAATGGTATACAGCCAATAGGGAAATAGATAGTTCCAACTTCCAACAGAAATAGTATGTGAATCCTGGGATTGGGAAGGTTGGTTTATGGTCGGCAACAAATAATGGCAATCCCCGCTGGTTTTATACTTGTGAAGCAGCCACAGCCACAACCCAGAGGTGATCCAGCTATTCCAGCTCACCCCATTTCCAACCAACATTTACATTTCTACTCACCCCATATCTTTATGGAATCCAATGGCCTAAAAAGCGATTTTACACTTTCAGATGCCCTACATTTTATTTCATGCAGATCAAACCCCGTTGTGGGATCAATATTCACCATTTACGCCAACTCACTAGCTTCCACCCTACGCTCTTAAACCACACTGCATACGAATGCTTAGCTTAAATTCTAACCACTACTCTCAGAACCTACCATAATCCATCGACAATTATGGCAACCCCCATTCATCTTCCGTGGGGACAATCATCGAGCCAACCATCTTACTCAAGCCACTCGTAACATAGCACACATAGAAGTACAACAATACCAATGCCCAAATGTGCAATATTCATACTTATATTTATATACCCACACTGTTCACGTTTGCTAACACATGAATAAATCCAATGAATATAATAGCTTACAACTTACAAGAACCTGACAGAATGCCAAAAAAACTTAACCCAAAAACACTATAATGACTTTTCCCTTTTTTTTTTCTTTTGGAAATAGTTTCTTTTGTTCTTCCTTTTTACCCTTTCCAAACTGTTTCTCCCAGAATAGAGATTAATTAAGATTAGAAAAAAAGAAAATAAAAACCTTAAGATGACAAATAGAATAGGAGAAGGGAGGAAAAACGACGGGAAATGACCCACCAATTAGCTCACCACGAACAACTGTTGCCCTATATGCAGCTGTTGTGCTCACTCTGACAGTCAGCACTTTTGGGAGGTGAGCCTTTTGACGTTGACGCGACGCAGACGCATAGCAGAGGCAGCTCCATGACTCAGACATACGGAATAATAATTAACGTCCTGTTTTAGCACGCTTCATCCCACTAGTATTGAATGGAGATACACTTCCACTTGGACCAGGACTGTCTTCTCTGAAATTCAAGTTCAGCATAGCAAGCTCCCTAAGTTGCTGCCTTTTGTAAAAGTCTTGTGATTCGTCCTGCTAATAAAAATTCCAATTAACCAAAATAAAAAGGCAAGAGACGCCAAACAATAAGAGTAGGTCTTAAAGGCATTGAAGTTGCATACCACAGGCTTCAGCAATTCTTCTAGAATTTCTTTAGCCTGGCGCAACTTTATGTCAACAATATTGGGAGCCATATCAGCCTCAATCAAAATGTGAAGCGGCTCATTCAGGTGTTCATAACCAGGTCTTCCTCGAAGCTTCTCTTCCTAGAATCATAAACCAAGAAAAACCACATCAGCTACAAGAATAAGGGACATAAACTTACAGGAATCAACAATTGATTCCAACTGATATTTATAAAACGATAACAAACAGTTCACAATGCAACATTGCACAGGATAGTAAAGATATTTACCTTGTCTGGATCCTTAATTGATCCTTTACCCCTAATGTACACACGACAACCAGTCGAAGCCTCAACACGTTTCAGAGAATTTCCTCTGGGTCCCAGAAGTCTACCAACAAAATTGAACTGGAAAAAAATAAGAAAACAAATGCATTAGCAGTCATCTCATTTGAGTATAAAGTCATACAAAATATAATGTACAAGTAGAAAATTATACTTACATTGGGATATGAATCTACTGGTATTTCCAGCCGCATTATTTTTTTCACGGTATATGAGCTAGGGCTCGCAGGTGCCCCTTGCCAGTCCATCGACATTCCAGGTGGACCACTCAGTCTCTGTTTGCAAACATCATGATTCATAGCATTAGCCAAAACTATGATGGTGAAGAAGGTAATGAGCTTGGAGCATCCAACAACAACAATACTCTAAAAACCCTCATAAGTATAGCAGGCAGGGGTTATAGGACAGATATAAAGTAGGCCAGTAGCCGTACTTCTGCAAAAGAAAGGCAGATATGCACGACATGGTATTTTAAATATTCATAAGAGTTGCAGACAGGTCTGTAACATATGATAGAACGGACAGATGGCAAAAAATCAGACTCCAGAGACACATAAGCTAATGTGTATAATCCTAAATTGCTTGAATCCAGCTCAAGTAACGGTAAATTTCTATCACAGTTCCACCAATTCACTCAATTAGTAAGGAAAATATCGCAATCTGTTTTCATATTCTGCCTCCTATTCTCTACTTGCATTCTGTTGATTCCTTTTCTCAACGCCTACTCAACAGTATATAGGTTTGAGACAGAAGGCACTAGATTTCCATCACAAAAATCTCTTAGAAAAGCCAAATCTGTATGGACATACAGTTCCATATATTCTTGGAAACCATGACTAGATTTATTTGATAAAAGCAATGGCTCAGACCGACTCCTACAGTATGATTTATAGACTGTAAGTTTGCAAGCCATAAAGCCAAGCACAGTGCTAATACTAGATGAAGGAAGATTTAAACCATTCTTCTGTTCCTCTCCTATTCAGGCATGGTCAAGGAGGAGAAAGATGCCCACAGGAGGTGACATGCTAATCTTAACCCTGACTGGCTATCTAGTGGTTATTACTGGAGCAGAGTTGAAATGCTGACCAGATGATGAACTATTCTTCTGAGTCAATTCAATCAGATGCCACCAGTAGATATCGGAGCCTAAATAAAAACTAACAATTTTCAAAAGACAATTCCACAAATCTCTTCAAACGTGAAGGGAGATGACTAAACTAGCAGAAGAAAAGAAGCAGCACGATCATCAACGTAATCATCAGGTCACTCTTCATGCAATCAAGGTACAGTAATATAATTTTCAGACATAAAGGAGAAACCTTTGGATTCCATGTTACTAGTGCAGTGCATAAAAGTGAATGGCATGCTGCATGCCAAGAAATATTTGTGAAAACATGAATACAGATCCAAGTCAAGACAGACCTAGAATCATTTGATGCAAGAATCCAATTCAACATCTCACAAGAGTCGTTCCAGGTGATCCTTTCTGTTTGACCAAGTGATGATAATCCTTATGAGCACAGTTGTTTATAAATATTCACTAAGAAACGGCAATCATGTAACAAGGACTCTAGGCTTAACCAGTTTAAGTATAATCGTAAGGAATTCTTCCGCTCTTCCGGCCTGTACATTAGAAGGTCTCCAACTCAGCTACAATGAAATACTTCCAATTAATTTTTTTGTCAAGACAACCAAAAATGAGACTCAAGATTATGACATCTCAGTTTTCTTATAGGAATATCAGTGTTCTTTCAATCTCGTGAATTTCATTTCAGCTCATCAAGTTAAGAGCATGAGCTCAGCCTCCCTCACATGATGATTGCAGATTTCCTCAAAACAAACAAAATCTACGACTTCCTAGTTCCAAGCAGTTTTTCTGCAATGTTGTATTAGGGCTACAGCTGTCACCACAAGTCAACTATATAAAAAAATTTAAAAGACGCGCTAGAGATGAGGAGCCCAGAGATACAGAAGATAGAACTGCTAGGATACACAATTGTTTGAATCCAACCAAAAAGTGCTACTTTTAACCCAGAGTAACGTCATGTTTTCATAAACAAAGACTACAGTGGAGATAATTTCATAACTATAGCTAGTTCTTCATCACACAGTCATCTAAACTGTAGATGTTAAATTGCTTTATATGTAGGGAAAAAGGAACACAAAGGTAGACAAGCAGGAAGACGTGGCAAATAATACCTCTTGTTGCAGGCCATTCCATCCACCATATCCACCTCCATGAATATTAGAAACTATATTTGCAGATGCCATAGGACTGGGGCTTCTATGTTGACGTCTATCAAAATCACCAAACCCTTGACTTGGCAACATACCAGAAACCCTCAAAATCTCTGCAGCCATCAATCAGTAAAGATGTTAGAATGAATGTATACGAAAGCACCAACTTAACCTATTTAACGAGTATAGTAATGAATTCAGAGCATCAAAATCAATGGCCAATGTAAGATCCTAATCCAATATCTCCTAGATATCAGACCATGAGGGAGTGGGACGGGTACTTGAAAACATAATCCATTAATTCCTATTAAAACTCCATTAAAATAAAGTAGTTGAGATTCAGAAAACCATATAGCATTGCAGTCCCTCAGGCAAACACCAATAATACAACTTTTAGCTACTTAAAAATTACGAAAAACCCGAAAGAGTGGCAATGTAAGGACACATGAATTAATGTCCAAGGAGATACAAATTGATGTAAATGAGACAAGTAATTGCGAGTGTAATGAGTGCTTTGATTTATGTTAAACTTGTGTACTTTTTTTTTTAAAAAAAAAAAAAAAAAAATAAAATAAAATTGTAGAAGACATGAGTGAATCAAGTGAAGAGCAAAAGCAGCAGAAAGAAATGTTAGGCAAAATGGAAAAAAAAAAAAAAAAAATCACATGTGGTCTGGAATGGTTGACACATCATAAAATAGTCAGAGTAAAAGTTACAGATTGAATTTTCCAGATTGATACCATACCAGTAATAACAAGCATCACACAAAAAAAGAAAAACTTTATTATCCTACCTGGCAAAAAACTTAAAATAAAACAGCTGGAAAATAGATAGTAGGTTAATGAAAAAAGTGGAAAAATGCAGTTGATTGAGATTCAAGGATCCCCAACACAAGTGGCGATGCCGATGCTTACTAGAATCAGATGACATGACACTTGGAAACGCAGTCATCTCGATAAAATAAAAATCAGATCCAAAAAAAAAAAAAAAAAAAAAGGAAGAACCTTGATTAAGGAGGCGGCTGCATATGGGGAGGACTTGCATGAAAGGACCCAATTTCTGATGTTCATTCAATAACTCCGTCAAGTACTGACTGCACCACCATGAATCACAACAACAACAACCACCGAGTAGAGTAGAGTTGAAGGCCAAGTCAATTTCAATAGTAATTAATAAAAACAATAATTGAAATAATATTTATCGGGTAAATTGAAAGTAGTAAGTAAATTAAGTAAGCAAGTAAGTAGGGTGTTAAAGGATAAATAAAAATAAAAGAAAGACCTATCATCAGAGGCAGCGGCGGCGCTTCTAATCTGAGGAGAGACTGCTCTTGCTGGGGAGAAGTTTGGATTGTAGAGTCCTGACATGATTTGTTGATTCAATTCAAATGATAAGAAGAAGCAAGTTTCGAGGCGGAGGAGAAGGTGGTGGTGGTGGTGGCGGCGGCGGTGATAGGGTGGGTGGAAGCACCCAGGAAGAATGAATTCCGACCGACCACTCGACGGTGGTGGTGGAGGTGGAGGTGATGATAGGGGGGCGGAGAGAGAAAGAGAAAGAGAAGAAGAGAAAAGGGGGAAGAGAGAGAAAGGGTGGAGGCTTTTTATGTTGGCAGAAGAAAAGGAGGAGACACAAAAGGGAATTAAAGGGTTTTTTTGTAATAGAAAGGAAACCACTCAACTCTTAACTCTACTCACCCCCAACCCAGCCCACCTACACTCTTTCTTTTTTTTTTTTTTTATTTATTAATTATCATCGGATCCGTAGCAGTAACAATAATATTCCGTAATACCAACTATTCATTTCAGAGTGGGGGAGGCCTCAAGTGGTTAGAGTTTTAATCTCGAAAATTGGAATCCATTCTCATTAAAAATACTATGTATGTACAATATAGTTTAAAACATCCAAAGTAAGTATTATGGGATGAAACAAGTAATAATGAAGATGAAAAATAAGGTGGTGGAACGTGGAAGACTGCAGAAACAGTGGACAAGCATCCTCCTCCCGATGCGCTCACTTTCCCCTTGATTTTTGCTGTTTTCGATTTCCCTTTTTTTTATATTATAATCTTCTCCTCTAAAGTTTGTGGAATAAATAAGCAGTCAAAAATAAATAAAAAGAAAGGGGTCTTCTCCCGTGATTAAATTATAGACAAAGAGTCTTCATTCAACCCTTTAGCTGTTGCTGCTGCTGTTGCAACTAAGCGCAACTGCTACGGAGTAAATATTGATTAGGTCAATCAGTCATCCTCTCTTCAACTTCATACGTCCACCCCCAGGGGCTTTCATTTAACCGTTTTTTACTGCCCATTACTTTACGGAATATATACTTTCACTATTTACGGCTAATAAAGACTTTGTTTAGTTCAACTTATTTTTACTTATTTTAGAAAAAATAAGTTTCAGATCAGATCATCGTTTTATATACAGTTTTTTAACGCTAAATATCTTTAATTACGTAATGAAAAAAATTTTACAAAAATATATTAATAAAATACACATTACTACGAATCTAACAAGACCCTACTTGATATGCTTCTTTATAAATTATCGTACACATAAGACTAAAGTTTGATCAAATTAGACAATTAGATCAGATAAGCAAAATAAGGTGAACTAAACATGTCCTAAATGTACACTTTTATATTTAACAATTAATGTATTCTCCATCCGTTTCGTATTAATCGTAACATTAGGGTGTTCACAAAGTTTAAGAAATTTTATAGGGTGGGGCCCAAAAGAGGATTTTTATTTATAATATAAAATATTGTTGGTAGGAGAGAAAATAATAATTAAAAAAAAAGTAGTATAAATGGGGTTGGTAGGAAAAGGAAATAATAAAATATTTGTGAAAGTGGGGTTAGGGGGAGAGTGAAATTATAAAATAATGGTGAGTCTTTTCCATATATAAAAATGTTGCAATTATTATGAAATGGATGTAAAAGAAAAATGTTGCAATTAATATGAAACGGAGGGAGTATTTGACAACTAGTATATGACCCGGACTTTACATTGAATTACTACTTTAAAACATAATGTTAGAAGAAAAAAAATGATTTAAAGAAAATTACTGAGGCTTTTCCTCTTTAATTATTTTCTCCAGGCAATTTGTTTTTGTATGCTTACAACTCATAGTATATATTTTATGTGTATGTGGAGAACATAAATTACTATTGGCTAAGATTGTAAGAAATGCGTGATCTTATATCCATGAGATTCAGTAGATTGTAAAATCAAACTAAATTTGATCCACCGGGAAATATTGCACTTTTTAACACGACGTTTCAACTCAGCAAGTAATTTTAATTTTAAAAACACAATTGAACTATACATGTTACAGAGTAAAAATCATGAATAGTTTTACTTTATTACTCCCTCCGTTCTTGAATAGTTGACACGTTTAACTTTTTTTAATTATTCATATGCTACAATACTAATTTTGACCATCGTTTTTTAACAACATATAAAAATAAATTTGATTATAAAATATATTGTTAAATAGATATATCTATCTTTTAAAAGTTTTGAAATAACTTTTATGAATACCGTTTGAACAAATATACCTTCTTAAATGTTTATTTTACTTATTTGCCTTCATTAATGTCAATTGTTTTTTTTTATAATTATCAAGAAAGCGTGTGAACATTTTTACCCTTGTTTGGGATAATAAGGATAATAATGTTGGAGCAGCATGGATTTTTCTAGATATGTGGTCGACCAGAGTCCTTGGTGGGTGTTCTCGTGCTTGCAAAGCTTCGACTGGCCTCCAGGCAGAATTGCAAGCTTGTGTGTGGGCTCTTCGGTATGCTTTGCAGAAGGGTTACGTTTGTATCTCCATTTATTCTGACTGTGCTGCCTTGGTGTCTACGTTGTGTGGTACTCGCTCGAATGATATCTCTTGTTTTTGGTTGCTTCAGGACATTCGGATGGCTCTTCTTGATTTCACTGCTTGCAAGATCCTAAAAGTTCCCCGAGATTGGGTTGCCCCAACCTACTAGTTGGCTATTAAAGCTCATCGGCGCCAGTTTCTATTTTGGTCCTTTTAGTTTTGTTTTTGTTTTTTTTTTTTGAAAGAAAGATAGGGAGCATTTTATTAAGTGATATCCACCTTCGCAAGAGTAAGCACTCCTTACGGGAAAGGTTCCAGAATTTCATACTCAAAAATATCGGGAGGACACGATCTAACAATTAAATGTGCCAATGCATTCCCACCCGCTCTTAAAATGACTACAAAAGAAATGCTCAAACAAAGACATAGAACTATGGACTTGATCAATGAACAGAAAAATATGGCTTTAAATACAACTATATATATATAAAAAAAAAATAAAAAAAAAAAATAAAAAAAAAAAAGAAAAAAAAAAAAAAGAAAAGAACGTATTGTAGTTAACGGGGATAAAAAAAAGAGGAAAAAGATTTAATAGAGACATCGGCAATTGAGGCAAGAAGAAGAAAGGAAAGAAGAGGAAGAAGAGAGAGAGAGAGAAATCGAAGATGGGACTGGTATGGCTAGAAGCTGCACTTCCACTTGGTATCATCGCCGGCATGCTCTGCATCATGGGCAATGCTCAGTATTACATCCACAAAGGCTTTCATGGCCGGGTCTCTCTCTTTCTCCTTTTTAGGGTTTTTTAGATCTACTCTTCTCATTCTTCCATCTTCTACAATTCTATCATTCTTTATCTGATTATTCATTTTTGGTCGCAGCCGAAGCACATTGGCAACGACTTGTGGGATGTCGCCATGGAAAGGAGGGATAAGAAGATCATGGAGATTTGCTCTGATACTCAAAATCACTAATTTACTCTCCTATTTCTGGTATGCTTTTTTCTTTTTCCCCCAGCAATTAGGGTTTTTGTTTCTTAATCATTTTTATTCTAATGGGTATTATTCATTTTCAATTCATTATCTAGTCAATTTTGTTTATTTTTGCCAAACATACGCATGGATGCCGTGGAAAATCTGTTGATGATTGCTCTTTGTTGTTGTTCATGGTTACGTTGTCCGTTGACATCTAATTGACTATGCTTCGTATTAGATTTGGGATATAAATGATGAACATATGCCTGTATTCTATCTATCTGCCGCTCTATTCTTAGTTCAACTTTAGTTTTTATTCAAACCATTCTCCAGCAATTCCATTTCATTTCTTGCTCAATTTCACACATACCGGGTTAGCGTAAGTGTGTTGAAAGCTGCAGATTTCGCTGTCCCTAGCCACACAATGCAATACTTGGATCTTCCCTTGAACCATTTAAATAAGATTTTCTCAACTAATCACTGAAAAGATTAATTTTGCTATGAAATATCTGGTGACGAAGATGATTTTGTGCCTTTTCCTCTTTCCTGCGTAATTAGCCCTCTGTTCATGATTTGTTATTCTTTTGCTGGTTGCTCTCAAAATTTTTGGGTTAGCTAGGGTTTTTTATATTTCACTTGGTTGAAGTGAGTTTAAGCAGATTCCATGCAACTATATAACCATCCCATTACTGTATAAGTATGGAATTTTCATAAGAGATTGAATTGTATTGTTTGATCATAAATTGATAACCAGCTAGAAGGAATTCAGAAAACGGTTTCCTTGTAAGCATTTCTCTGCACAGCCTTATTAGAATTTAGTAGTAGCAGCCAGTAAATAAATTACTTTTGGTGAATGATTTGTGAAAATTGAGTAGACCATGCCCCTTTTTGAATTCAACATAGACCGAAGAGTCATCTTACCTTCACAAGCTCCTCGAGATGTGACACAACTCTTTCCCTTGAGCATTAAATCCAAATATACTTTGATTGCTTTGCTTCTCTTCTATTTACCGTGAGATGCTTGTCTCAGGAAGAGTTTTAGTGAGCAGGAATTCTTTGACCAGGAGCACTACTCTCGAGTCTTGACGAATTTAGAAAATTTGGAAGACTTTTTGTCAAGCAAGTTGGTTATGAGTATCGAGGACAAAAGAGTCATACTTACATTCAAGTTTCCCCCAAAAGGCACAACTCTTACCCGAGGGATGTATAGAACCACAATTTTTCCTAGGATGCCATACTCTAATCACTTTGCTTTCTCTTCTAGGGTAGTAGCTTATGCTGTCTAACAATTTTGCTTATGCGGAATGGGTTTCTTTTTTTGAAGCAAATGTAAGACGACTCTCCATGAATTCTAACGTACAAATTTATGTACACATTTTGCTTATTTGAAGCCAATACGTGAGCATGTATTGCACCCATTATTCTTTTCCTTCATTTGATTTTTACATTTTCTTCTGCGTGACGTGGTTAAGGATGATTGAAGAGACCGAGGGAGTGTTCGGGGAAGGATTTCTTACCTAGTGTCCAATGCGGGCAAGGAAGACAAAATGAAGAGTTGTAGTAACATAGTGTGAGTGAATCATTGCATTTATGGGTGTTTCTTGACTACAAAATTTATGCTCTTTTGCTGGTTGATGAGCAGCTGACTATACTATTACTTAATTAGCAATATTATTAACTTGATTGTTATAAAGGGTGAAACCAGTGATATGCTATGTTACATGGATACGGGTATGAGTATAGTATTGGGCGTGGGTGTAGGGATTGAGTGTATGGTATGACCCTTTTGAATTATATGGATGGATATGATACAGGCTATGACATTTATAAAATAGGTAGCCTTACGATATGGAGATAATGGAGTATCTGGAAAACTGATAATTTTTTTTTTTTTTT